TTTTGCTTCATCTTGTCCATAAAACATTTTCCCGAAATGATTCAGGTTTATTCTTATGTTCACAAACAAATTTTAACCAGGCATTCCTATGTTTCTTCAATAGTGAATTTTTTCTCAGAGAATGAGATTCTTAGTTAACTTCTATGAATTTTATTGCTTATCGTTCTCTTTCGTAACAATAATATCTGATGTTTTTAATTCTTCCTGTATTCCTCTCAGAGTAGTCATTGGATTTTCTCGAATTTTGCGCTGAATTCTTCTGATTGATCAACAATTTTCAGCTTATTATACTTAGCAATAATAGAACTAATAGTAGTAAATGATATATTCAGGATATCTGCTATTTTCCTATAAATTTTGCCTTCCTTCAGGTGTTTGATGATCAATTCTTTTTGCGAATTTGATAGTTCCTTTCCTTTCTCCATGATGATAATTATTGTGTATTATTTGTGTGTGGAAATAACCTTATATAAAAAATGAATTACGGAATGTTCTAGATTGTTCCGGCAATAAGATAACTGGAAGAATCTAGCAAAACCTTACAAAGAATTATGTAAATAAAGGTAATTTAAGTCTTTTGATATTAAAGATATGTTTTGTAGAAATATTTTTTCGCCTCAAATTTTTTAAAAAACTCAAAATTACATTTATAACAAAGTTTTTTTTTATTTTTTATTTTTTTTTTTTGCATATTGTAGCATTATGCAGTGGTGTAGAAATATTGTATAGATTTTCAGTTTTGTCATAAATTATAAATATTTTAATTAAAAAATTCCATGGTGTACGAATATTTATTCCCTAATGTATATATATATATATATATATATATATATATATATATATATATTAGTAATATTTCATGTTAGTAAACGCGTTCATTGCAAATTAAAGTCTGGCCACAATAAAATACAAAACCTGGTCGCCTGATGATCGCGGGTTCGTGAAACCTGAGTAGCAGTCTACATTTTTGTCTCTTTTGTGCTGTGACGATGTGAAGGATTTTTCCTCTTTTTGCGGGGTGGGGGGCTGTTGTTTACACTTTTTCTACCTGTCGGCCTTTTGGTCTTTACTCCGTTTTTCAGAGTTTCTTTATTTTACCATTCTTGTATAGGTTTCCTTAATTGTTAGTAAATTTTATTTTATTTTTTTCTTTATGAATTTTCTTTTTGTCATCTGGAAGGTATTCTGTTGTTTGTACTGACACTTCAAATCTGTGTATATGTGATTGAATGAGCAACACACACACACACACACACACACACACACACACACACACACACATATATATATATATATATATATTAAATAAATATATACCCATATATATATATATATATATATATATATATATATATATATATTATTATTATATGAACTAAGTCAGACATTTTGCGTTTATGCGTTATTTTTGTAGATAAAAGTATTCAATTAAATGCTCTGTTTATAATAAACAGTATTTACATTTACCGGCCTTAATGACCGAGAAATTTCATAGAAAATATCTGTCCTTCAACAGTAATCGAACCTGTATCCTACGCGGAACCGTCATTGATTTTGCTAACCAAATGCTTCCTCTGTAGGTAAATCACGTCAGGCTATATGACGACACCGTGCGGGGTAGAGGTTCGATTCCTGTTGAAGGACACATATCTTCTCGGTAAATGTAGTTAATACTGTTTATTATAAACAGATCATTTACTTAAGTACTTGCATCTATAAAAAATAACGTATAAACAGAAAATATAATATATATATTTTAAATTAATATTTCAGCCTTCATATAACCCCAAATTAATGTCATAAGGTTAATATTCGGGTTTTATTTTATAAAAAAAACTTTCCCTTTAACACAAATATCTTTCAGCCATCCTTGACCCCCCTTTCGTCTGTCTGAAACATTGAACTGGATAAACACTGTATTAGTTTTTCGCTATGTTGTTTTATTTTAAATTTCACAGTTAAATTTTACTTGCTTCCAGCCCTAACTGTATAGACACGAACTCCACACCGGGGTTGATAAGACAGAAAACCGATATCTTCTTCTGCCGAAATAGGCTATTCCCCATATGAGGTAATTTTAGATTTTATAGTTTATTAATCATATATATATGACCGTATCAATTAGACATTTTTTAAATATATATATATATATATATATATTAAGTGAGGAATACACGCACGCACATAGATGTAGATACACACACACACACACACACACACACACATACATACACACGCATATATATGATTAAATGAGGGGCAAGTAGAAATGACCGTATCAATTAGACATGGTTTTCTGTGTCTTGCAGCTTCAGCAGAATCTCTATAAGATTTATAAACTTTTCCTACACGCTCGTTATTTATTTATATATATATTAAGAAATGGACAAGGTCCGACAATTTATTTATTAAAGACATTTTTATGTTTATCGTTGTTTTTTTTTTTTTTATAGATACAAGTATTTAAGTAAATGCTCTGTTTATGATAAATGTTATTTAATACTGTTTATCATAAACAGAGCATTTACTTAAATACTTGTATCTATAAAAAAAAACAACGTTAAACATATATATATATATATATATATATATATATATATATATATATATATATATATATATATATATATATATATATATATATAATTAATTGATTTAAAATATGTTTTTTTGCGAAAAAAACATATTTTAAATCAATTTATATTAATGCTCTGTAAATTTACATTGAGCACTATTTTGTAAGAATAATATATATCTTGCTTTTCTTTCTTTTTATTTATACACACACACACTCTCACACACACACACACACACACATATATATATATATATGTATGTGTATATATATATATATGTAATTTTTATGTAATTTCTATATAATTTATACATTATATATGCGCGTTACTTATTGGAATGTGCTCAATATCATACATAGTTGCACTGATATGAGTTTATGACCATGGGTTTCACAACCTTGCGATCGTCAGACAAACACGGACGATCGCAAGGACGATATATATATATATATATATATATATATATGTGTGTGTGTGTGTGTGTGTGTGTGTCTGTGTGTGCGTCTGTGTTCAATGTTGGACTCTCGCACATATTTTACACGCAAACAAATCAGTCATTTCTTCTTCTCTTGATGAACACAGACCTATATGATGCCCCTTTGAAATAATCATGGTTTTAATGGTTTTCATGTTGATAGGAGATGCAAAAATAATTTTTATACCAGATTCGCAGACCAGAATTTCAGACAAAATTTCTTGATGAGAAATAACATTTTAATTTAATTTTGTTGAAATGTGAAACTTTTCAAAAATCCTTATCGACTTATTATCGACTATAATGTGTGTGTGTCTGTGTTTGTGTGTATGCATGTGTACATACCTATATATAATGATAGGATAAAATGCAATCTTGTCATATCTATCTATCTATCTATCTATCTATCTATCTATCTATCTATCTATCTATCTATCTATCTATCTCGGCTTGTTCATATCTATCTTTTCAAACAACAAGTATTTGGATATGATGATTGAGATAGATACAAATAGATACAATAGAGAGATAGCACGCGATACACAGAGAAAAAAATGATAGATGGATAGACAGACAGATTGGCTGATAGATAGACAGACAGACAGATTGGCTGATAGATAGATAGCCAGACAGACAGACAGACAGATTGGCTGATAGATAGATAGACAGACAGTTCAAACAGACAGATTGGCTGATAGATAGATAGATAGATAGATAGATAGATAGATAGATAGATAGATGTATGCATCTTTTTCATATGTCCTTAATTTTGTATACCTGATTTAAATATTACTTATATTTAGCTATTAATATGTCTGCAAAGTTATTATGTTGAAGTACTCAACCATTTCTAAATATAAGGATATATTCCACTGTATAGTAAAATTTCATATCGTATCATTTATATCCTGTATGTGTGTATCTATTGATATTCCTGTATGAAGTCCCCAGTTTCTTTTCTTTTTATCTCATGATAATCATGTATTTAGAATTAAGTAACATTCAATTTTTATTCATGGATTTACTCTGGTCTGGTACTTAATTATTTTTGCAACTGCTTTTCTTTTCTCACTTGATTTTAACTGATCGACTTAATAAGAATTCATATAAAATATTGAAAATATACATCATGCGATCGTGTCTTGGTAAAGCCATCACCTTCTCGCTGAATATTTTTCATCTCATTTAATAAACTCAGAAACATTAACATCAATTCAAATTGCATTTTCCTTTACTCTTCATTTAAAGTCAACTTTTTTAATAATTATATTTTCAGTATTTGTACTCGTCTCTTTTTATTCCATTGTTCGCACACATATAGACTTTAAACAGTTCATATATGGCATTCAAGTTCACCGTTTTTTTATGCTAAAAATGATTCGTACTAACATCTTCATTTTAGCGCAATGTTTCGACTGATATAGGGTTAAAGTTTCTTGTTTATATCAGTCTCAAAATTGGACAAAAATAACACGAATGAAGACACTAGCTTGAACAAATGGTCGAATAACGAAAGAAGTTAAACTGAAAACTTCAGACTACATCGGCAGTTCTTTTTTTTAAATTTCAAATCCAATTTAGCTTTGACAACACAGTCGTTTGTTTTATATGCAATTTACATCTTGTTACCAAGCAATCGTATTTATTAATATTTAATACAGTAAATGAGAGGTTGAAATATCCATTTTTATTTTTTGTGTATGTATGTATGTGTGTATACATTTAAAGGTCATATGTGAAATTGCCTAATATATGTTCGTTTTGTACCTTCATTCATAGACGTTATTATACATGGGAAGTCATGTGACGTGTTAAGTGATGGCGTTCTCGGAAAGTTTCGTTACAAATTGTACATTTCAGTTTATCTTCTCGCTTTCGTTTCATTGGGTCGAATTCTCGTTTGTGGTGAGATCTCATGTGGTACACGAGATCGCTGGTCATGCGAAATGTGGCGTTGCACTTGGCGCACCAGTTCTGCGACAGATTTAACGACGTCAAAGGTGTATGAAGCATCGTAGGTGATGAGCTGGCAATGATTTTTTCTACCATCGGGTTCTGAGTTTTAATGAACGGACTGACGCTAGGCCTCTCGGCAAATATCGGATGCTTCGGAAAACTGAGGCTGTTTTCACTACCGAACTGCTCCGTTGTATTCTGTACCAAACCGTTCTTGTAAATTTCCATGATACTATGAGGTGGGTGGTTCTCTAGCAGGGGCTGAGACGTAGCAGCTGCGGCAGCAGCAGCAGCGGCGGCGGCGGCAGCTGTCAAGCCAAATGACGGAAAGACTGGATATCTGGGTAGGTAGAGGGCATTGGCGCTGGTTATCTGAGTGGCGTCACTCGGTGAGGAGAGTGTACCTGACGTCGAAGACGTTAGACGTACACTTGCCACTGTCGGCATGTTGTATTGTGAGACTGGAAATGTCATGGCAATCGGCGGGGAAAGGGTTACTTTTGAGGGCACAATAGGACTGGTCACTGAGTGTCCTGAATTAGAACCACTGCTTCCGCCGATAGCATGACCACTACTTGTACCATTAGTCGTGCTACTGCCAAGATTTAAACTACTCCCATTTGGTGAGTGTAGTTTTTCGACTTTTTTAAAAGCGCTTCTATTTTCTTCGGTGTTTTCTCTAAATTTGAGAGTGTTTTCTGTGTTATCAGAATAAATTTGGGGTGAAACTCTTGCAGATGATTTTGAATTGTTGTTTCCATTATTATTATTGTTGTTGTTGTTAGATTCAAACTGAGAATTTCGTTCCGGGGTCTTTTCTAGCAGATCTGGACTCATTTTCTTCGGGGACGGTGATGAGTCAAGATCTTCTAAATGTCTTTTGCGGTTCTGATCAGATAATGTCCGGCTTCGCGAATAATCCTTGATCAACGGTGTCGGCTCTGCCTTGCCGCTGCCTTCAATTCCACCCCCGCCGCTATTTCGCCGAATGCTATGGAACTCCAACGCTCGAGAATAATTTCTGATGCGTGATTCTTCCTCCACTGACTCCATCTTGAGTAGTCGTTCTCGCCGGCTCACAAAGTGGTTTGAAGTCAATGTCATCAGTGACCTCGGCTCACAGGAAAATCGAAGATGGGCCCGCAGAGGAAAAGGATATTCAAATAGTTCACCACACCGTGGGCAAATGTAGGGATCTGAATCTGTAATAGAATAAGATGAGAAGAAATTAATGAAGGAATAAGAAAAGATCAAACTTCTTGTATTTGGGGAGTTTTGTGTTTCTACAGAAGCTTGATGAGAATACCATAAACGGTGCATGTAAACAACGAGGAAGTTTTAAGGGAAATGAGAACAAAAAGAACATGTGATCAAATTAATTTTCATTTCTATCACAAGCAGCAATAGACAATGTCAACAAAATTTTTCACAGATGTTTTGCAAAACTATGACCAGCGTACATTTAGATCAAAATTTAGTTTCACTATTTAGTTTCATCTGCTTCTGAGAAAAATATCGATTAAAATGAAAGCGAGTAAATTCGATTTGAGCTAGATATTCAATTTACAATTAAAATATGAAAATTTGGACACTTATAAAAAGTGTGTCCAAATTTTCAAAGCTAAAAATGAAAAAAAATCCTGTCAGTGAGAAATCCTATGATTTTCGCAGGGTCATATGGCATATGCCTACAAAGCATCATTTGATTGGAATCTGCAGTTTAGAGGTGTATCTACTAACAGACACCTTAATTAAACAGGACAGCCTACACTAGGATCATACCCAAGCTTCGAATGAATGAATGAATAATAATAATAATAATAATTACAGATCGACCTCATAATTCCCACTGATGTAGAAAATCTTAACAAGACAAATAACACACACATAACAGGAAATAAAGTAGGAAACGAATTTCAATCTAACGTTTTACTTTTATTAAGGCTTCGTCAGAGATCAAGAATAGAAATGCAAAATGCAAAGAGAATGAATACTTTTATGTTGTGATTTTTGGTTAGTTCTTATTGGTCAGATACATGTCACGTGTATTAACGCTATAGATAGTATATGAATATGTGTGAGCAACATTTAGGATGTAAACGTGCGTGATAGTGTATGAGAAGGTAAGTAAAGAAACGCTTGTGCGTGTAGGAGTATTTAGGACGGTAACGTTAATTCATGTGTATAAGCGTGTGTGTGAGGAATGTCTATAGATGTTACCCTCGTATATGTCGGTGAAATGTAGAGATATGTTGTAATAATTTTGTATTTGGTTGGATTCTTATATTCTCCTGTGTGTATATGTGTTTGTGGGGAATGCCTGTGGTCGTCAACTTTGTGTGGATCGGTGAAGTAATTCGGTTTTATTGTAATAATCTCGTTTATATACATATATATAACTAATTTATATATATATAGCTAGAGGCAACCGGACGTCTAGCCACACTGTTGAGCTGTGATACAGCGAAACAGTCTGTCTAATGAATGATATATATATATATATATATATATATATATATATTTATATTGGATAGATGTGAGTTTGTGACCCTGGGTTTCACGCTTTAGCGATCGTCAGAGTTTTCTGACGTCAGAGTTTCTGACGATCGCTAAAGCGTGAAACCCAGGGTCACAAACTCACATCTATCCAACCAAATATGTTAGCTCTATCTCTGATATTGAGCGCTTTCTAATAAGTACCATATATAATATATAAATAATTATACATATATATTTTCTTTATATTTATATACACTTTTCACACACACACACACACACACACACACACACACACACACACACACACACATATATATATATATATATATATATATATATATATAAAACAGTCAAACAGACACACTCTTGATTCTGACCATAGATGCGATAAGGTAATTTGATTAGTGTCCCACTTCTTATCCTCAGTTTTGTCTATCTTTCATTCTATCTTGTAGAAGACAATGAGAGCAGAAGAGGATCTTGTTCGAGGTAATAAGAGGACAACGAAAATAGAGATGTAATCCGAAAAAATGCTATGAGAAATGAGTTATTGTTTTGGAACGTGCGGTCGCAACGCTGAGTTTGAATTTAAATTTTAAGGTTGTGCGTTTTTGTACAAAAAAGGATTCTTTTTTACTGGTAAATTTTCCGTCTATGTGCATGAACTATATTGTTCAATAATTACAGTAATGTCACACTTATTATCCGAAAGTTTACCAAGAAATAAAAACAAGAACAAAATCTATTTCCATACCTGAGGATGTCTGTAGGAACAGACGAAAGCTTGTAAAAATTAAAAGACCTTATGCAACTGGAATTTATGAACAGGGATCATATCATTCATATACAGGTTCGGGGTTGATGTGTCTCATTTATATTGTTTGCGAAGATGTATTCTCGCCATTTAAATCATTAACCTCTATATTTGTTTTTTGTGTGAATGATTCATGAATTTATATATATATATATATATATATATATATATATGAAACATTTCTCAGAATTAACCTGTAGAAAAATGCAATATGTATAAAAGTAAAAGACAATAGGAAAACTGTATTATTAGCCAACGCGTTTTGTCCAATGTAGACTTTCTTGCCTCGAAAAAGTCCACAGGTTGGCTAATAATACAGTTTTCCTATTGTATCTAATCTATCTTCTATCTATCTATCTATCTCTATCTATCTATCTATCTATCTATCTATCTATCTATATATATATATATATATATATATATATATAGAGAGAGAGAGAATCACTTTATATATATATATATATATATATATATATATATATATATATATATATAAAAAAATGATTCTCTAATCAACTTTTTCTACTCCTGGTGGAGGTTTCCTTTCAAACCTTTTGCTTGAGGTAGTGTGAAATTCAGCATGTTGATTATATAATTTTGCAGTCTAGTTCCATGCGCTATAAATTCTAATTGCTGTTACTGATTGAAAGCAAGAAGAACAGATTAAACATCAACTGCAAGAAGAGAGAAATTGCAAGGTTGTCAAAAAAGGATGCGAATTGGAAACCGGATATACCAAAATCAAACAAGTGCGGGAATTTAAATATCTAGGAAGTGTTTTAACAGAGGACGATAACGAGAGATGCTGAGATCCGAAGACGTATTATGATAGCGAAGGAAGCATTCCAAAAGCTTAGCAGAATACTAAGAAATAGGAACATTTCGCTAGAAACAAGGAAAAGACTACGAAACTTTTATATGATATCTGACACCCCCCCTATATGGCAGTGAGTGCTGGGCAATCTTCTCAAAGATGAAGAGGATATTTGAGGCAATAGAAATGTGGTCCTACAGAAGGATGCTGAGGATATCGTGGCCCGAACATGTGATTAACGACGAAGTTTTGGAGAAAATGGAAACTTAAAAGAAACTAATACTTAACATCAGGAAGAGACAATTTAAGTTTCTAAGTCATATAACAAGGAGGGTGGAGCTTGGTGAAATTGATACTCACAGCACAGACAGAGGGCAAGAGAAAGACAGCGCATAAAATACTTAAGGAGATTGGATGGCAGAACAAGGCTTAGAAAAAATAATGGAAAGTTTATTAAGTGCTACAACGTACAGGAAGTTGTGGAGAGCCATGACCGCCTACATCCTGAAGGGACACGGCATATAAAGAAGGTGTCGAAAACTTTCAAGTAATGTGGCTTTTATTATTTTGTAAAACTCTTTCTTTGTGATTATGTTGCGCCAGTTTTTAAGATCTAATGAAGAATTGTCTTCTTTGAGACCTAGTGGATTCATTGGTTTGAAAATATTTTTAATCAATGATCAGAAAAAGGTGGGAGCACGGGGGAGTAATGGATAAGCGGCTCGAATTGAGGAATCTGAGAGCCGAGTTCGAATTCCAGTCGAATCCATTACATTCACTTACGTGCTTACTTGCGAAATGTATGAATACTCTTCTCCAACCAGCTATGGGAAAATAGCAGGACAGACCGGGTTCTTTAACCTAGGATGGCAACTGGCCTACCGCAGAAAGAAATGGCAACCAACTGCGGGAAAAAAAATCTGCCTCGTCAGTTATGTATCGAAAGATACATGATCGCCTAAGCGTGTATTACGTATGGCACATAACTGACTGATCGAAAAAAAAAACTGCTGTATCTAACAGACAGTTTAGATATTTCTGAATATTAATAATAATGTTCGAGGCTCACAAGTCAAAGATAACTACCGCCACTACTTCTCGTGTAAAGTCTCTGTTATTCCATCTTTTGATCTAATGTAGACAACATTAGCAACAGACATTGTGGGCTCCGTTCATCGAATGGGCGAACGATAGAGGCGGTCTGCCAATTGAAAGTCTGTAGCAGGCTCACTCTGTTGGACTAATAGCGATTGTAATGTGCTTTTATTGCAACGGGGATCAGTGAATACCTGTTCGGATTAGAAAAAGCCTCAAGAGCGTGTAAGTGAGCGAGTCACGTTAAGATCTTAAATCAGCCGAGCCACAATCCGTTCTTCTGCCACTTCATAAGTGGTCTCACATGACATAGGAGCATGTGTGGGTGCACCAACATCGGATCTGTAATCCGATCACCGAGAGAAAACGTCGCCATCATACACACCATCATCGACGGCTAGCGTCGTGTATGCTGTTTTTAATAAGCTTCCTTCTGTGTAGATGCGCGCACGCGTGTGTGTTTTAATACACACATACGGACACATAAATATATATATATGAGTTCACTCAATATATATATATATATATATATATATATATATATATATATATATATATATATATATATATATATTCACTCTCTTCCCGTTATACTTTTTCTCCAACCATAATTTCTCTCCGTATACGACTGGTCGGGTAAGGTAGATATATTGGTTGCACCAAGTGACACTACTTTTCCCGTCCGAATGGGAAGGATACAATGTCAATGAATACTTGCGAAATGCTACTGTCTCGGAATCTGCTGGTTTGCTTTCTTTCTTTCTTTCTTTCTTTCTTTCTTTCTTTCTTTCTTTCTTTATACGCCAATCTGCTCATATCAATCGATTTATGCTTAGATTGTACATTCTCAGTATTTCTCTACTCCTGTCGACTCAACCCTATCTGCTTATCTTTACTGAATTATTTGTATGTTATATTTTACACACACACGCACACGCAAACGCACACATGCACACACACACACACACACACACACATATATATATATATATATATATATATATATATGTTACCAAAATGCATAATAATTTCAGGTATAAAGTCAAGAATTCGAATGATGATTTTCAAATCATGCACTTTTTGTCTATTAAGATTAACTTATGCAAGACTATCCTATCATTATCTATCACAATCTGCCCATATCTATCTATATTTATATATCTGTCTTTCTATTTTAGTTGCTATCTATCTATCTATCTATCTATCTATCTATCTATCTATCTGTCTGTTGCCTGTATATCTATTTCAGCTGCTATCTATCTATCTATCTATCTATCTATCTATCTATCTATCTATCTATCTATCTATCTATCTCTTGCCTGTATATCTATTTCAGCTTCTATCTATCTATCTATCTATCTATCTATCTGTCTGTCTGTCTGTTGCCTATCTATCTATCTATTTCTGTTGCCTGTATATCTATTTATATCTATCTATCTATCTATCTATCTATCTTTCTTCTCTATCTATCTATCTATCTGTATCTACTTGTTCTAAATGGTCTTCACTGAGAATAAATGCACAATAAATAAATAAAAGAAATTATAAATCTCCATGCATCTGCCGATGTATGTATGCGTCAGTTGAGGCCCTTTCGTCCGTTTCTCTGGAGCTGATTGTGTTTCTGTCCTTGTGCGCGCTCATCTCCAGTTCCTGTGCGTGCTCCTTCGTATTACAAGAAGCTTTTCCTGTTACACAAGATGGCCAAGAAAATATCTCAAGATGGCCAGAATAAAACCGATCTTGTATCAAAAGATATCAGGATTTATTGTTGTTGCTTTTTTTTTCTTCTCCAAACTATATCTTTTCCTTTTCTTTTTCTTATTGGCTTCTTTGTTCGGACTTATTTCTTTCTTCTTTTTTTTTTTTTTTTTTTTTTTTACTTTACGGGAAGTAAGAATTGTCTGAAAGTAGGTATCATGTCATATGAAAGCTTTGCCGTCGTAATAACGTCAAGCTAAAAGCAAAAGGTTGGCTTGGTTTGTCCCGGCCACAAGAGATGATCGCACTAAAGCATTATTGCAGGCACACGTGTGAGTACTCATACTTAGAATATCGCTTTCTTTTCTTCCTTTTGTCTATCAAATATTAATGGATGCGTGCGTGTATTAGGATCCTGTTTCGATCTATCTATCTATCTATCTATCTATCTATCTATCTATCTATCTATCTATCTATCATACGTATGCATTTAAGTAAATATCTACAAAATAGATCGATAGAACAACGACTGCTAGATATATATTTGATGCATATGTTTACAGCTTTTTATTTTGCCAAGTTTGGTACAAAGCCAAATTTACGAGTCATAAAAATAACTCGCAACTCTTGCTGGTGAATCATTGGTTACTGTCCCTCTTCAATTATCTTTCTTTTCTTCTTTTTTTTTTTCGTCTTTCTTTTTATTCCTTGCGTCAATCTTTCTTTTTTAGTTTTTCCTTTACTTCTTTCCTTAGCCTTTTTTTTATTTCATTCTTCTTTTTCCCCCCCCAATCTTTTCATCTAATTTTTCCTTACTTTCTTAGCTTTACTTTACTTTCTACACTTTCTTCGTTTACTCTTTCTCTTTTTTCTTTTCTTCCTTTGGTATTTTCATTAATTTCCTTTCTTTCTTTGATTTTCTTTTCTTTCTTCATTTTTTCGTTTACTCTTTTCTTTATTTTTTTTTCTAACAACAAAAATTGAAAGAAAGAAAGAAAAAAGTGAGAAAACGAAAAGGTGCTTCACTTTTCTTTCTTTAATCATTTCATCTATTTTTTCTTTCTGTCTCTCTTTCTTTCTTAGCTTCTTTTTTTTTTCAATCATTTCATCTAGTTCTTCTTCTTCCTTTTTTTGCTTATTTTTCAGATTCTCTTCGTTTCTTTCTCCCTCTTTTTCTTTCTTCCTTTCATTTAATATTGATTTCGTCTTCTTGTACTTTTATTGTTTCATTCCTGTCATCTTTCATTCGCTCAATTTTGTCAGTTTTATTTGTATTCATATATATATATATATATATATATATATATATATATATATATCCAATTCATATATATATATATATATATATATATATATATATATGTTTCAATATTTACATTCTATCTTTTTTTCATAGCAACATTTATCTTTTCACCTTTTCCTTTCTTTTTTCACCGTTTGATTTCCTTTTATTTCTTATTCACTTTTATCTTTATGAAATCTCTTCTTCCTTTTCTTTTTTCTTTCTTTCTTCCTTTTAGTCCTTCTATCTCTTTCTTTATTTCTTTCTTTCTTTGTTTTCCTAGCTCATATTCTTATTCATTCCTTTATTTCACTTTCTTGAGAAATTTCACAGATGTAAATGAAAATACTTAAATCCTGACAGCAAAGAATAACTTTGTTTATAACTTTTGTCAAAAATAAGCTAAGAAACTCCAATAAAAATTTTACGAAAATTATCATCTTTGATTTAAAACCTAGTTTCAAGTGAGCCGACTCAACACAGGGTCGATATTAACAGTTAAGTATGTTTAAACGCCGTTGCGTGTCAATGTGAGTATCGAAAAATAGGTGAGTCGAGTTCGAATCCTAGCTGAGGTAGTTTGTGCTTATTTTCTACTATGAATTTACCTCTCCTGATGATTATTAAATAGTGTTAGAAACATGTAAATCTCTCACCATATTACTTGAAGAACAACTGACCCCCTACAAGTACCTTGAATGACTCGAAAAGTGCCATGAAGATCACAGTCTGCAGTCCTTATGAAATCATTTTATTTTGACATCTTGATAATTTCTTAAATTGTTGGGCACCCAGTGAGGATTGAACTCGCTCCACCAACTATAGTAAAACGGTTAAAAGAGTTCCAAGTATAAGCTTAGTCTAGTGCAAAGATTTTAAACATTTTTATGTTTTTCATCCCTGGTAAGTATACACCCTTGTGCAAATTAATTAAAACAACCTCTTTAGGTTCCTTTCTCTCGCCATACGATCAGTTTTAGACCCACTGGAATAACAGGGTGTAATCGATTTCTATTTTTTCCTCAGATTAGGTCATTTGAAGTGGTATGAATCTATTTTCGGGGTGTATGATGAAATTTATTTAGCCTTGAAAAATATTGTCATCTGTGATTGCATCAGATTTTCATCAAGCCCAGACACTATTGTCTCGACTGTCGATTAGTTGTTCACAGCTTTTATCTGCGACGGACGTTACTACAAAGAAGCATACGAAAATTGTAACGCTGCACAAACACACTGACAAGCCTTACCAGTGAGAAAATCAAAGTACTATCGACTGGCCCAGAAACTCTGCTGATTTAAATCCAATCGAGAATCGGTGGTCAATCTGCAAGGAACGACTTCGTGGAATAGACATACGAAGTATTAAAATGTGTACTGGGGCATGTTTCATTTGAAATTACGAAAATGTAAATAATAACGGAATTCTTCTTTTTTTTCAATTAATTTGCACAAGGGTGTATGATCAATATTTGCAGTCAATAAAATATTAGCATCGAGTTTTTAAATGAAGAAGTCTAATTTATAATTTTTAAACCGCATACATTATTTGCTGATGAACCAATTAAACTCAATAAGTTTTTTTTTTTATTTAGAACAATTGCAACAACTTGCATCGATAAATCTGCGGCATAACTGTAACCATCTCAAGACAGATTCATGGCTGATTGAGTGATGACTCATCAATCAACTGACGCAAACTACTCCATCGTGCATCCTGTCAGGGTGCAAGCAACCTAGGTTGGAAAACCCTCGCATAGCACAACACTAACATAATAGGGTACCATAGGAGGATTGTAATCAAAGCAATGTGGAATAATCTGGCCTAGGTTGGGAATCCAAAGTAGATATGACACGTAATGAGGAAAGAAGGTCTTGAGAATTTGACAGTCAAAGGGCATATTTAACGCAAGAGAGTTAAAGGAAAGAAGAGAGTAACCTGCCTAAAAAACGTGCGTAAATAAATAGTAGAACAAGAATTACATAGGAAGTTGTGGAAAGCCATGATTGCCTACGTCCTCTGGGGATACGGTCTGACAAAAGTTTGTTATGATGAATCAACCGGTATGGATTCTAGTCATTCATTTGTCGACGAACGTATCTTGCGTGTCAACCCTCTATGTCAGGCCGATGACTTATATAATTACTCGTCGAAACTAACTCTGGCTAAAACCTCTAATAGTAGTAGTAGTAGTAGTAGTAGTAGTATATATATATATATATATATATATATATATATGGTATGGATTTTGTTTTGCTAAATGCTCTCTCAGTAAAAGGCTTAAGGTAGAGTGTTATTAAATAAGGTTGTTGTATTGACGGAGAAAGGCGAAAAGGGAAGTAAGTTCAGATAATAAGAATGTATAAGATAAGAAACGTTTGACCTTAAACTTGAAAAGGTTAGATGTGTAGTTTTCGTGGAAGCAACCCTTCGGGTAAGTGTTCCATAGAATGTTAATTTGCAATAAGTAAAGATCATATCTTGGTCACTGTAGCTCAACAGAAGAAACAAAAAGGATTTTCTTGAGTTTAGTCTAAGTCCAAATTAAAAATGTTACAAATTCAAATTGCTCTAAGAATTGTCAATAAGACAGCCTGAATGAGAGTGTATGTATGCTTTAGTGTATATGTGTTTAGGCGGACGTGCATATTTGTATATGTTTGTGTGTCAGCATGTCTGGTCTAGTAGAATACGTAGATATGTTTACGTATGTGCATGTACGAATGTATCAGCATGTTTGTATGTGTTTATTTATATGTACATCTGTGCATGTCTATAGATCGGGGTTTATATGTGCAGGTGTACGTATATATGAATATTCATGCGTGGGCGTTTATGTACATGTTATTTTCATGTTAAATGGTAAATATGTGCAAATGTTAATCACACATACAGAAAACACACACACACACATATATAATGAGAGCGATATATATATATATATATATATATATATATATATATATATATATATATATATATATATATGTGTGTGTGTGGTATTAATGGATTTATTTATAATCAGAAAATATCTCTTATAATTTTAAACGGTATATTTATTGAATGAATGTGTGTGACGAGACACAGATGCTTAAATAAAAATCTGTGTAAATCTATATCTCCCGGCTTGTGCATTTGAAAGTTTTAGGAAATAAAAATAACCTTCTGGTTATGGCAGCACAGGTCCGAACCTTGCACAAATAACAAAATCTAAATCATATATAAGAAAAAAAAAATTTTTAATAAGTGTGCCACCACAAAAAAAAATATATATATATATATATATATATATATATATATATATATATATATATATATATAAAAGATTTTTTTTAATTTTATTCACACACTTTTTTGATCCTCGATAAAAGTGAAGAGTACGTAACAATAACTTCTAAGCTTCCTTTTCTTTCCCTTTTTGGAGTTGTTTCTTTATGGAAATTATATATATATATATATATATATATATATATATATATATATATATATATATATATATATATATATATATCTACTCTAGAATCTCCCGTCGAATTCGACGTATGAGGGTCAAACAGATCAGTTCCCAGGAAACCGACAGCCCGACAACAGCACATGAGATTTGATTATAGTGGTCAAGGTTTCGTACAGGACCATCCACACTTTTTGGAGGGCCGAATAAAGAGACCTGGTGCACTAAGTGCCACAATGTCCCCAAGCGATCCTGTTTTGAATATATATACAGTGTAACCCGGATATAAGAGAGTTGTCGGGACCAGAGAAGAAGCCTCTTATATCCAGGTTACTCTTATATCCGGGTTTGGTCTATTTTTATATACATTAACACAGGCTCTAATTTGGGACCAGATAAAATCTCTCTTATATCCGGGTTTCTCTTATATCCGGGTCTCTTATATCCGGGTTACACTGTATACAGGTACGTATTCTCTTCCCCTCTTCGATTGGCTTCTTTACAGTAATTTTGTTTCTTCTTACTTGCTCTTTGTTGTAGTATTTTATTTTGTAATAGTTTTAGTAAATAAAAAATATTCTGATGAACACTGAATGATTTTATTCATCTATTTATTACATCAGTGTCAACTTGAATGACACTTTTTTAAATTCTTGGGCCAGTTTTCTTAAAAAAAGGAATAAAAACCCTGTATCTTACATATACGAGTAGTCAAAAAGAAAATAGTCTCTTTTCTGAATTTTGGTCCATTGACACGCCTAAAAATATTCGGTAATCTACAATTGTGCCACAATTACTGTAACCCATTAGGGTCGTAGGGGCATAATATGTACTGCGGTCGTAGCAACAGTGGCGGGTCGAAGATAAGATAACCTTTCCGTGCCCATGTATTTTAGAACTGGTTTCGAATTCAGAGATTTCTTTTTATTAAACGCCACCTCAAGGAGAGAAAACTCAGCTCTGCTATTTCAACAATATTTGGGGTGTGAAAATCTAGATACATACCTTCCCTTGGCGGATTTGTGCGAAAAGCAATATAAAGAACCCGACCGGAATTCGAACTTGTCTCGTTGATTTCGCTTTCTGAATCGCGAGTCGGTATACAAAACGCACATCAAATCTACGGTGTACCTATGAAAGGTTTATACATTTTTTTTATTTCAAACATCGTCTCAAAGTTTTATGTATTCTTGATTGTTAGTTGGTTGATTATGTTTAGCGGTATATCAAAATCTCTATTTAATGCCGAAATCTAAATATTTCGAACACAAATTTATGGCTTCAACTAAATATATTTTGAACAGAAATTGCATGTCTTCAAATACAGTTGAAATGTATTGCTGGTCATTTTGCTATAACAATTATTGTTGGTCATTCCACTATAAGATGTATTGCCGGCAATTTTACTTAATAAATGCATTGTTGGTCATTTTACTGTATAAAATATATTGCTTTACTTTTACTATGAAAAATGTATTTTTATACTTTCTTAGTCTTCGGTCTTTGTTTTGTGTTCACCATTTGTCCATAACTTATGCATTCTAGAGAATACTTAGGTATTCTATACAATATTAGTTTAACAGCTTTCTACCAGTAGAAAAAAACACACTAAACTAAAGTTTCTTTTTCCAGGTTTTCAGATAAGACGTTTAGCCATCTTGACATCATTTGTCGTAAGAATCAATGAAAAACCCTTTGAGTTATTCAGCTAGTTATAATCGTTTTTTTTGTCAGCCCCAACATGTCTTCACATTTGAGCAATGGCGAGAGGAAAAAGATAATTCAGGACTTCAGTAACTGTACCATTCGATTTCAAATTCCATTCAAGAGAACAGTGAACACGTTTAAAAAAGAAAGAACAGTAGAGAGAAAAAAAAAACTGGATCCGAAGAACACAACACCCAGAGGCACCATCATTTCGAAGTTTAATAATGCTATAAAAACCTCGGGGAATTCCATTAAGATATCTTCATTCGTTCCTAAGATATAACGCTCAAAGCTTAATCTAACAATTGGACAATTTTGCTCGTGTACGATTTGGACAATTTTGCTGTTACACCCGGTATATGTGTGAAATCATTATTATTGGACTACGTGATTTTGATGCGCTGACGTATTTGTGTGGGTGTGCATTTGTTTCGTTTTCAAAGACTGCTGTGTGAATGTCAGTTACCTCTTTGCTTTCTCTGGACTTCAGGAATGGCCAGAATCTGAGAGAAATCCTTGCTGTACCACACGAACAGGTCCTCGTTCCTCTTGATTATCCTGAGAGCCCGGTAATAAACGTAACCATCTTTCATGTATGCTTCAATGTTCTGCTCATCCTCATCGCGGGCCGCTTGTATATATGGCAGCCACTCGACCGTGCGGTCTTTATTCTCCATTAGGTCCACCTGCAATCATATGAGAAAGAACAAGATTGTTGGAATTAAAATCAGAGAAAGCAAAGGACAACGCGAAGAGGATTGGAGTGTTGTGCAAAGATGGCGGGAGAAATTTACCGAGTGAGATAAGATTGTTCATGAAGGATTTCTATAAAGACAGATTCCATCACGTGTTGATCATTATAAATTGAAACATAAAGGGTACTGCACAATAAAAACAGCATGCTGTATGCAAAGAATTGGTGGCCGAAATGAAGAACAAATATTTAAAAATTTATTTTAATTTAAATAGTCGCATATTTACTCGGTGGATTATCTCTCCTAAAATAATTATTGCATCCAAATTACCGATATTTTATTATTGTCTTAATTATGAAATTAGGGAAAGCCATCTGAAAATATGAGAAGACCAGTATAAGAAATATAAGCCCGACGTGTGTATGAGTTTATTTAGAGTGAAAAGAGACCTAGAAGAGCAATATATATATATATATATATATATATATATATATATATATAAATATAATTGATTTAAAATATGTTTTTTTTCGCTACACAGTTCCAAATCCATGTTTCAAAAATAGAAGCTAAAACCCCGAATTTAATTTTGCAATTAAATTAAAAGCATTAGTTCCATTTCATATATATATATATATATATATATATATATATATATATATATATATGTGTGTGTGTGTGTGTGTGTGTGTGTGTGTGTGTGTCTCACTCTCTCAGTGGTTTGCCTGCATGGTTTCATACAGATATGGAAATATATGAAATTGCATTAAAAGGTAACACGCACACAGACACACGCACGCGCGCATATACCAGCCAACGCACGCACAATGCAAACGCACACATCCACAACACACGCACGCGCATACGCAATACGCACACACACACACACACACACAATTAACACTCGCACAATACATGCACGCAATACACACAC